GAAAGAAAAATAATATTTGGACAGAACGACACTGTCAGATGATCCCTCTTCCCACCTCTCCCTTGTCATCCTGTTCCAGTGATCTAACTGATGTTCTTACATTCTGCGCAACCAAGGGTACAGAACGGACCTGATCAAGGTCTGACTGAGAGGTCATTTGATACTTCATCCTTCACTGCACATTTCTTCTCCTCTCACAACATACTGTGGAGCTTCAGTTCACATACACGAGTTGGAAGAGAGGTTTTCATCCCAGGTTTCCTGGAAAGGGAACTGGCCTTTGAATTTCATAAAAGCACATCATTCCATGGCCTCTTTGATGCCACGCACTCCTCCAGCTTACAAGGAGCTTAAGAGAGATTTTCTCTGGCATGTACAAATACCCTCCTGAGTTACCAGCCTATTCCAACTGCCTTCCAGAACTAGCTGCACTATGGAAGGGTTTCTGCCTGTGAACATCTCTTACAGAAGTCTTTTCTGTTTCCTCAAGCTATAAAGGATGATAGCAGGATACTCTCAACTCAAGCAGCACCTGCAGTCTCAGATAGCGTGCTGCTATGGCAAAATTCCTGTGCTTGCCAGAGAGGAGCCCTGTCCATCTCAGGTCCCTCAGACTAAGACTACAGCTCAGAAGTTGTTCTTTTCATTTTCCAAATCCCCAAGACCAGTCACAATGAGTCTGCCCTTCACTGTGTCACCAAACCTCTGTTAGTCCCATGAAGTTTTCAAGACCACTTCACTTCCCATGCCCCTCTGTTTGGAAAGCATTCAACCCTAAGAAAAGATGAAAAACTGGAAACAGACAGAGAAGTATGGCATTATGAGTGAGGACAGAGAGGAAGGAAATGCATAGGTGTTAAAATGAATGCTGGATGTGGGGAGTGAAAGGCTGTCCTCCCAGTGGTACCGTGATTCTTTGGTATATAGAGGCACCAGAGGCATCTTCCAAATCCCCCTTGCTGCCTTCTCCTACCTGCTTGCATTTCACCAAATGTGGTTGTAATTTTTGCCTTCTGATGCTGTGCCAGAAGGCCACCTTATCTTGATTAAAATGCTCTACAACACCTTGAAAACAGATAATCTACATCACATGGTTAGTGCTCCATGTCCACTTTGGAGCCTGAGTTCACTGAAACTGGACTCACATCTCTCTCCATTTAGTACCCTGTTAACAACTTGCTGGATCTGTGACAATCCTGAATCCTCCCGTGTTCCCTTTCAGCTACAGAGCTGTACCAGTGAGTTTAAAGCTGGAATAATTACTAGTTGTGTCTGCTACTAGCTTGAAAAACAGCAGCAGATGACTTTCTCCAGGAAAGCTGAGCTATTAGGCTGCAGCCACCTAGAGTCTTTGCTGGTTTGAAAGAGACATCTTACCTAGCAGAAAACGTGCCCAGATAAAGCAACCATTGTACTGTGTTGTCACCAATTTGTCTGACCATAATTTTACATTGCTGAATACTCAGTCACTGAAAAAAATGTAGTTATTTTTTAAAAAGAGAAGATAAACACTGCTGTTGTACAGCCTAGTTCAGAGTCCCATATCTTAAGCTGATTCAGCTTATCTGCCTTTCTATACCTTTGACAAATGTATGTCTTCTATCATTTTTTCTCCCCTTCCTCCATATGCCTTACTGCTTTTCCTCCATGTATCTTATCTCCAAATGATGTGCTATTAATCAGCCAAAGACACCCTTCACTGCTAAGTGTTCCTCAACTGATTTTTCATCAGCACAAGTAGTTACTAGTTACAGCATTCCTCCCACATGCTAAAGGCTCGGGGGGGGGAGGGAGGAGGGATGGCAAGGAGTCTGCCTCACCGTGTAAATACCATCTGGGACCTTTATACCAACCTGCCAGTTTGCCATAATGATAATGTTGCTGCTTGTTCTCAACCAGGTACAGGGTGGGAGGAAAGTGGGACTGCACCCTGTCTTATTTTTCAAGTTATTAACCTCCACGCTCTTCCCTTTTCCTGATTAATCTGGCTGGATGCCTGTTCAGCAGTAGCTAAAGCTTAATACCTGAAACAATGTGTGTATATACACTGTGCCAGTAAGGCTTGCCCAACAACGCTCAGTCTATCATGTTTTCCCATGCCTTGTGTCAATAGCTCATTTTATATGCGAGCCCCCAGAGCCAGAGGAGGGGATATGAACAAAGAGAAAGGCACGGAGGGAGAGGGAGGAAAGAGAGGAGGAGAGAAGAAAGTCAGGGGAAAAAATTACATCCCTTGGGAACATCAGCTGCTGTGAACTCGCCCACTCCTCACCATGAAACAAGCTGTGTGCGGGCACAGGTGGGTCCCATTCTCTGTTACTGGAGCACAGCTTACAAGCAGGGTCTAAATGAAGACTTTCATTGCTGTTCCCTGTTTTCATTGGAGCAAGGCCATCACAAACATTTGCAGGTGGCTTGGCCGTAGTCTGACACTAAAATATTTGTGGTTGTGATAAAAATCAGAATATTGCTACAAGATGGTTCTATATAACCTTTAGGGGTTGATCCTGCTCTTACAGAACTAGCTCAATGAGAGTTTTGCCCAGTTGCTCTCCGCTGGTTTTATTGCTCATTAAAAGGCATATTCCCTAGCACAATTCTCCATGGTAAGGACTCATCTACCCTTTGGGGCTGCTTCAGATGTTTAAAGAAAAAGTGGGGGGGGAGGGGAGAACCCACCCAACCCAAAACCACTGATTTGAGCACCTCAGAATATGGGCTTGTTAAAAAGCTGAACCATCTCAACTTTGTAAAGCCAAACCGAAACCACCAAACTCAAACATTTTCTGAATCCATCTGGATTTTTCTTCAGTTGCCTAATATTGAAACCATTGTCCAGTCTGTATTCCTCATGAATGATTCTTGGATATGATTCTTAGCACGTTTAGAAGGATAAGATGAAGATAAATGGAAATGACAAGATATGTTCTTTGAATAAATAAAACAGGCACCACAGGAAAAAGACTGAAGGAAAAGAAGACAAACAACAAGGATGCTCAACACATTGGCAAGTAGATGAAGTCCAAAATGTAGCAATTATCTCCTAGGACACACCATGAACAAAAAACAAAACCTCCTAGGAAGAGGGAAGAATGGGGAACAGAGTATGCTGGAGGTCACACCATAAGTCTCATTCACAGACCAACTCACACAGAGACTAAAATGCTGACAATTGCCTCCCAATAGAGCAGCTTTAGACTCAAGACTTAGGAAACGTTTCTGTGATTCAGTCACAGGGAAGAATTAAGATATGTCATGACAAAGTTTCCCAAATGAGACACTCACTGCTGACTAGGAAACAGGCCTTTTTATCCTCAACCCCTCCAATTCTGAAGATTCTAATCACCATGGCCCCAAACCAATGCAAACCTAAAACCTGACTGACAGGGTCTTGCAAAACCACATGAATTTTTTTGCTCATTATATAGAAACAATGGTTTGGAAGCCAAGTATAGTCCCATATAAAACACCTCACCATTGAGTATTAAAAGTTGTGTGGGTTTTTTTAATTAGGATCATAATTACCACTAGACCTATTAAGTCACAACTTGAACACAAACTTAATCGTCCTTAACCCAAATAATGGCATTAGCTGTTTTTCTTTCTAAAATTGAAAAAGAAACTGTTTCTTCCTTCTTTTCTTTCTCCCAGCCCTCTGTCTCTGAGCTGAATAGGACATATGTAAGACAATTTTCTTGATTTCACAGGTGAACAGTATTGCATGTGACATCTCAGTGAACACTGTGTTTTGTAAATATGTAATGTATACAAAGGCACTTCTACCAAATATGTTTACCCGACTCATACTATCAAATTTCTATATTAAGAATCAAATCCTGAAGTAGCAGTGACAAGGAAAGTAGAGGAACTTTGCCAGAAGCACAAAACTGGGGCAGTGGATGGAACCTGTGTCCTGTGCATGGCTGGGAAACCTTTATGAAGAAGTCAGTGCCGGGGGCCAGCCCTGCCACCATGGCTGGGGAGACCAAGAGCCTGTGGTCTATATCCTGCCCCAGCCATCAGGAATATTGGAAGAAAACTCAAGAATAACTGGATTTTGAGTTTTCAGTGCCAGGATTTAACCTTCTGGTTTTACTCCGAAAAGATTTCTCATCAATTGTTTAGACAATGGCTGGGGACAGAGACTGCTTTTGTACTTGTCATATAACGGATGTGACCAAATTACAAATGACAGATAATGAATCTAGACTCCTGCTTCATTCTCAGTCTACTGATTTATCTTTTTATCCATATATTTTCATGCATAAACTCCCCCAAATTCTCAGGGTTGTGTGACAAAAAAACTGTACCCTCAAACCATCTGGGCAGTTTCTCTATAATTAAAACCAAGTTATTGTGACTTATAAGGACCTCATGTTTGCTGGAAGTAACCAAGTGTACAAAACACGGATGTTTTTATTCACAATTCTCTAAACATGAGCACACAACTGGCATTCAAACCAATACAATAAGCATCCATACTGTCGATTTATGGGAATAAATATGGATCCATCATCACAAATTGAGCAACTGTTCACAGAGATCTCTGTGCCAAACTCCATTTATCTTGATGGTCTTTCTATTTTGTCTTCTAGAATTCTTCAATTAAACAGAGTGCATGCAAAATAACCCAATGCCACCCAGAATTCCCATTGAAGGAAGTTAGAGGATCAGTTTCAGAAATACTCTTTCTTCCAAAAGCAGTTATAGAAACAACATGAACTTTGAATGTAAGGAGATAAAAACAAAATACTGGAAGGAGAAAGCAGGACTTCCCTGCAAGTACAACACTGCTCCTTTTGAACCAAAGTGCCAGGTGTGGAGTGGATGTAGTAACCTGGACACTTCCTCACAGTCTGTAACACACATTGCAGGGGTCCTTGCCACATGCTGGCAGGATCAAGTGCAAACTCTGTAACCTCAAGAACCACAAGGACAACATCTGGTCCTACATGCAGCTGCTGGAGCCAGAGTAATGGAGAAATGAGAAATGGACTCACCCAATCTGTCGATTTGTGGAAGGTGCTTGTGTAATGACCGAACTGGACTGCGGAGATGGCATGGCTTGTTGAATCACAACGCTGGTGTCATGATTTGGCATCCTTGTATTTGTCAGCTGGTGAGATCCAGGTCCTGCCATTGCTCCTCCAACTGCGTTATGCATGGAGATATTCTGTGAAAATAAAGGAAGTGGGAGATGGTGGAGGAAAATGAAAAAGAAGTATCTTGGTTTTCTGTTCTAGAGGAATACAATTAGATATCTGAAAGTATCAACAATATGAAAAGTTACCAGCTCCTGGTAAATCCTAAGTCAATACATCTCGTTGTAACCAACAACAATAAAGAAATGAAAAACAACTATTTACTTTTACAGGGCAATATAAATGGAAAAATAACTGCAAGTTGACTAATCACTCTTCTGTGATTTTGACTCGTGATTTATAATGGGGATATTTAGCACATATTCTCCTAACTGAACACGATATATATTTTGTTTGAAAATTACTTCTGTGGTGAGTGCACGGCATCTTGATTTACTACATGGGTTGTTTACTGTGTACTAGGTCTGCTTAGACTGACAAGCAAATCAAGTTTTATAGTCCCAAAGTAACAAATAGTACATGGTACGTCACGAAACAGCCATTTCTATTAGCCTCCATATATTTTGTGGAGCAGTAATATCCCAGAAGCCTAGAATAATAGCACAGTATTTGCACATATATAACCTTTGCTTCAGGTAACTTGGAGCCCTTTAAAAGTTCTTTTTTTTAAAAAAAAAAAAAAGTTCACAGATAACTCCTATCCACAGAGTGAACAAGCCACAAGATACAATGATACTACTAAAGTAGGAACCACGGAATACAATTTCTCTCCTGTTATGTCTGCACACAAAATACACGCTGCTGCTAAACCGCAGGGTTTGACTTGGCCCGCATTTAAAAACAAACAAAACTCTTAAGCCAGAGATAACCCACAGTGTATACATATAAAAAATACGGTAACCTTGAAAGCATTATTTTTCCTATCAGGCATCAACGTGTGGATTGTTAGCAGTAAGAGGAAAAGAAACTTTCTGTTGTCACCTCATAGTAGGCTGAGGAAAAGGGGGGGTGGAAAAAACAAACTAAAAAACATCTTTACATGCACACTCTGCCACCAAGATGCATGCAGAGCATCTTCCTGACCACTGCAATACTCAGGATTGAAAACTGAAGTTAAATCTAATTCAAAATTCCAATTTATGAGCCAATTTGTCTAGGAAACACATAAAAAACACAATATAATGATAGAAAAGGCTGGTGAGAAAGGAAACTCAGAGCTCTGATCAAATGGGGGGAGACAGACAACATACTGAATTCCAGACCTAAAAGAAAGAAGATTGAGTTCTGAACCAAAACAAAAATAAACCCTTTAGATTACATCCCTCATGGAAAAGAAGCCAATAATTAGAGGACCCAGACTGAAGGCCTTAGCTGTCATCCCCCTATCTATCAATTCTTATATATTTCAGGTGATTTCCCAGGCTGCTGTGGATGCAGAGATCTCTGTTTCTTTTACAGCAGTTGTTCCAGTCTTCATAAACATATAAAGAAGCAGAGGTGCTGCTGACAGCCGCACGGCTAGACCGCTCACCCAGTATGAAGACAACCCAGCTCTAAGTTCCTCTTCCAGTAAATAATTTACACAGTATGAATTGGGTCCAGCAGCTCCAATATTCACTTGGAAGCACGGATTGCATAAGGAGACCAGACCAAGGACTTAAACTGCAATTTTTCAAAGCCCTGTATTAAGTCATGACCATCAGGCAATAAGAGAGAATAACCTTAGATACACGGAATCTCTTCCAAAAGAAGTTCCCCTTATCTACCACATTCCTATTAAAGTATCGTTTCTTCAATGGATTAGTGTTTTCTGATGAAAAATCTGTTCTGTTAAATAAATAAAAATATATACACAGCCAAATCTAGTTCAGGATTCAAAACTGCACTCAGTTTTTTTATTATTAAAAAGTTTTGCAGAACCAGGTCTAATATCTATCCATCTGCAAGCAAATCTTCTAGCAATATCACTTCCTAAAACTTCTCCTTTATATTGTGTGTTTTGCAATTAAAATGTACCAGTATGTCATATTTACTTGTTTCAAAGTTCACCCTCATTTAATTCCTCCTTTACACTGCCTCCACAGTTTCTGAATCCTTCCATGTATTTCTGTATTGCCTGTTTGCTTCCAGTAGTATGTTTATTAGAGCAACTGTTAAATTGCAAGACAGGTATACAGCACTAGTACCTCTGGGTCCATAGGGGAGCAACCAAGAAGAAAGCCAGCAGTCACCCATAATGAGTTTACTCTGCAAGTGCTGCACAACTGCCCCTCGCCACTGCCAGCACAGATCTGCTGCCTGCGCACGCCTGCCTTGCTTCCAAGCAGGGCTGTCTGCAGGAAGCCAGAGCATTGGCATGTAACTGCCCAGGATTCAGAAAGCCTTTCTCTAGATTACAGACTCCACAGACTTCCAAGAGCTACACAACACTGATCTGCTACGTGGGAGGATCATTAAAGGAAATGTGGATGGTGCCACGACTCCATGAGGCAATGGGAAGGGACAGGATGTAAATCCACGATAAGCTTTACACAAATATTACCCCAGGACTTGCCCAGATTTTGACTGGATTTTGTTGTAACGTAGCATTTTCTTCTCCTTCTATTTCCCTTGCCTCCTATAATTCCAGTCTGTGTAAGGTACCAATGGTATGAATTATGATGGGTACGAAAAATTTTGTTTGCATGGAAGACATTATAATTGCTTGCTTTCGTGCATAAACGTGTAACGCTGTTTCAAAGTTTTAACAGTTTTCAATAAACTGTAGCTTTTCAGAAAGTAGGCTGAGCATGTGATGCATGGAAAGCAAAATTAGAATGAAAATGCAGTGCATCCAGATGTCCAGTCATCTCAGTAACGCAAGTGCTGCTGTTGGGTAGGAACTATACCTTTATATCATGCTGCCAAAAGAAAGCTTAAGATTTCCCAACAAAATGTCAAGCTCAGCATGACTCTCACATTCATAAGAAAGGGATTTGGCAATATCAGAATAATTTACATCAGTGAGATGCCTGTGAATTTACGGAGAAGTTCAAGCAAGTTCATACTTAAATGACAATGCTTATGCTTTGAAAGATGGCAGGAAGGTAATGCACAACACATCTGACACTAAGCCTATCTGATCTAGTCCTGTGCATCATGGCATGCAGAATGACTCTATATCACCAGCACGGCAAGACTGGACTCGTTGCACGTGTGATGCAGACGGTCTTCAGAACTCCCAAAATGGCATTGCTGTGTTGAGCTCTGCACCTGATTCTGAATGGATCTGGCTAGGACATTAATGAGCTCCTTGCAGACTTGACTTTGGGCCCTTATAGAAACAGGACAAATTCAGCAACATTGGCTGAAACAGAGACATCCACTTTATGGTTGAATCGTTCTTTGGCTAGGCTGATTCCAGCTTTACTTTTAAGGAGTTCTGCCTGCTCTTCCACCCGGGATCCATGAAGAACATCTCACTTGGACTCCTCTTTTCATTCTCCTCCAGCTTTTAAGCCAATGGTTAAGATTAATTGATACTAGGTGGGAAGCTCCCAGCACTCCATATCAGAGAAGTTGACAGGAGCAATGATCTAGACAGGGCTCTCCCTCTGCTTTTAACACTCCCAAGACCTGTCCATACTCTGAGAAAGCATGACATATGCTCAGAGTTTTCTCAGAGATTTTCACAACTGTCCTTCAGCATTAGAAGAGGGCATATGAGCTTATTATTATTATCCATTTTATTAAACTGAACCTAAACGTCCACACAGGGAACAGGTCACCTACATGCCAGGACCTGTAGAGACATGAAAGACATCCCGTCCTTAACATTCATATAATGTATCTTAATTTAGATCCAATAAATTAAGAAGACTTCGTTTCCTCTAGAACTGTTTCATCCTCAAAGTTCCCAGTCACTAACACTGAAGCAGAAATTAGGATTATAACACTGAAGAGCTTTTACATAAATGCTCCCCTTGCCCATGTGCTCATACTGTACTCTCCAGCAGTATTTAACACTCAAATAAATAACACAAAAACCAACAAGCCATATTCACAAAACACTTTTAAATCAACGTGCTCATTCTCAACCTTTCCAGCTGCCAGAGGAAAGGGAATAGATCATCATCAGCTTGACTTCTCCCCAGCTACACTCTATTCCCCATTTTAGCTTCAGACTTTGAAGAAAACATTTGAGCATTTTTCTCCCACATGCAACCATTTAACTTTGGATAGGCAATACACTTCTGTTTTTTTTTTTTTAAAGCTAAAAACTTCTTGAAGTCATGCTTCCATATTCTGGTGGAGAGGATTACACATCACTCCACAAGAACACACACCCTGTTGGCAAGCTCATCAGAGAAATGACGGCTCTGCGAACTACACCCCGTGTCTCCAGGCAGTCACCATTTCCACTAAACCCCAGTTCTTCCAGAGAAACACCCATCCATGTCACACAGCACCACCTGTATCACACATCTCCATCTAATGAAGGCAAAGGACGAAGAAGATGCATTCATCCTTTATGATCCCTTGTAATGTTTTGAGTATCAAACAGAGTTTGTTTGTGGTTTTAAACTACAAGAGTTAGTTTTTAAACCAAAGCCAGTTTATATTTTCCTACCATTCTTTTTTAAGAGGTTTAATGAAAATTGCAAATACCAGTTTTATACAAACGGTAGACTCATTCAGAATTGTTCCGAGCAAGCTTTTAGATCAGAGCTGTCATCTACAAACATTTGTACATAAATATATTTTGCAGACTATTATATAAATTCTAAAGTCAAAGGTATTTGCCATTAAAAAATGAGAGAAAAAACAAATTAATCAGAACAAAGACAAAGCACTTTTTTGCATTTTTTTCTGTGTTCTGCAAAAAAACCCACATAACTATCCTTTCCCAAACAGCAACTTTAAATATTTTTCACATATTCAAGAGAAAAGGCATAAACTTAAATCAAACATTGCACATGCTGCTTACACAACCAAAGAACCTGCTGGCTTAGAAACTCGGAAGACACTATCATAAAGAAAAGTGCAGACTAAATGTGGCAAATAATGGCAGGCTTCAAAATTATTTAAATCA